CTTGTTGGGACTGTCAAAGAATTTAAGGCTTTATGGATTGACATTTACATTTCAGTGGGTACTACATTGCACTGGTGCGGGGGCGCGGAGGGCATGCACATATAAGGGACATGAGAAACACACACCTACACACACACGCGCGAGCGCGCGCATGCACACCACGTTTGGCTCACCAAAATGCTCAACTAGTTTGGTGGCCGTAATAATAATACATGAATTCTGCTTTTTCTTTGTGTACGGTCAAACGGAATACATGTACGTGATTCTTTACTTTTCTTTCTTTCTTCATCTGTCAATTTTAGTCACTTACTATCAGATTCTTTTAGCAGTTCTAGAGTTACAACAGTATCAAAGGAGTATGTTTCTAAAGATGTATCATTTAAAGAATCCTTTCAGAAGAATCTGTGTTTTCCTTTTTTATTATCAAAAGACCTCTTTCCACTTTCTCCTGATAACCCTTCCCCTCTGTTTTTCTTTTTTTCTACAAAAAGAAAGATAAAGCAATCTACAAACGAAACGAAATTTGATTAAACATTGTGGCCAAAACCACTGCGACATAGACTGAACTGAAATATTTATGGGAATATAAGTGAAAGTTTGCAAATTAGGTGGGTTAAAAAAAATGTATGTTTTACTGAATCAGCAGCTTCCACAGTAATAATTGGCGCTGTACCGATAAATCTTAATGTTTACATGTATTTAGCAGGGATTTGAACTGGCAAAATCAGAGACGTATCAGTAAAAGTAAGAAACCCCGATCAAAATAACAACATCTCCGCCATTCCCCCTCACCCACTCCCCACCCCCCTAAAAAAAGTTTTTAAAAACGCCCTACCGTCAAATTATTCACGAAAGTATTGTTTCTTTTCACTTCCTTTTTAGAAAACCTTAATAACAATTCGGTGTATAAACAGGCTTTTCTCTCTTATTCACTGTTACGTTAGATTCTCATTCCGCTTAGTTGTTAAATGTAATTCCACTTCAAATCCTCAAGTTCTAAATCTTATACAGTCGAACCCGTGTAAGATGGAATCAAAAAGGAGCCAGGAAAAAATTCCATCTTAGATATAATATTCCGTCTTATACAAAAGGATTTAGGGTGAGATGGAAGGGGGGGGGGGGGTCAAAGGCCCAGCCATGAGTGGGATCAAGGGTCGCTTGTCTGGTCAGCAAGCAGTGGTCAAAACTTCACACGTCTCAAGTGCTATCCTATCGTCTCTGACAATGGCATGCGTCAGTCCTACTTAGCCATTGTCACAAGTGCTTGTATTTTTATGGAACCACTGTTTGACCTATTAAAAAAACAGAAACGTTTGAATGTCTCCTAATCTCCTTTGCTTCCACCCTTAGCCCCACCCACCGGTGCAATAAGCCCAGCCAACCAATGCCACCCCTCCCGTGGGATTCGAGGAACTCTTTTCTTGGCTGGCCGTACGATCAGAGCGGCAGGCATTGGTCAAACCAATTTCACACCTCTGGCCTCTTGCTATCAATAAACGTTACGTGCTGGAGCGCCACTCGAACACTTTCACAGACACTGGTGAGATTTCATACCCACACTACCTTGATCCCTCCTCGCCTGACAGCATGGTGTACAAGTTAGAGCCGATGGAACATGTAGTTTTGTTTCAAATTCAAATCTGCAAAGCATTTCCCCTCTTTGACAGTTAAAAAAAAGGCCACCTCTATTCTCACCCGGAGTGAGAATAGTGCAGGCGAGTCTTGTGGCTATTCTCACCCGGTGCGCGTTCACCAAATTTTGCATTCACCCTAAACCACAGAATTCTACACTGTGATAGCAGAAAAATTGTAGAATTCTGTGCCGTGAACAAACGTTCCATTACAACTGTAGCCTACTAAAAGCGTACAATTTTGTCTGTGAGCAGTGGAGAGAGAGAGAGAAAGAGAGAGAGGAGTAGCGCGAGAATTTCCGGGCAAAACAAAATGGCGACCCGCGTAGTTCGGCTCGATTCGAAAAGTTAAATAGCCGTAGCATCTTTGTAGACAACCAAATTAATTTACTTTTGTGTTTTAACATCATTTTTAAACTTTGTTTTGGTCAATTTGATCGTCCACACCGATAGACAGTATTCAGAAAGAGACACACACAGAGAGAGAGAGAGAGAGAGAGAAGAGGGGAGGAGTTGATCTTGCGAGAACTTCCGGGCGGGTGAGAATAGCCACTTAAAAAAAAAGCACCCTGAAGAGACGGAATTTCTTTTTCCGTTTCAGCGTTAGACAGGTTTCCGTTTTATAGAGATAATTATATTTTAGGAATTTGTCAAAGGGGTGTGTGTGTGGGGTGGGGTGGGGTGGGGGGACTCCGTAAC